TGTTGCTGAGTAGCAGGCTTGGAGGAGATAAAAGACAGGCATGTTGCGTTCTCGTGCTATCAGGTCGAGTGTCAAGATGATGGATGGTACGGCGGCAGCGTCGGACTGGAGAGGTGCATGAACCCGGTTTCAGATGTCATATTGGCGTTGGAGGTTAGTTGCAATACATACAGAACTGCTCCCTTGCATCTCGACTGATCGAGTCGCGACGCAGATGAACGACGAACCCCTCACAGTCAACCATGGCTTCCCCGTCCGAGCAGTCATCCCCGGCGTTGCAGGCGCTCGATGGGTCAAATGGCTTGACCGCATCACGGTCCAGAAGGAAGAATCAACAAATTATTACCAACGACACGACTACAAGATTCTCCCACCAGACGTAACAAACTCCGACGAGGCAGAGAAGCACTGGGACAGAGTCCCCGCCATGGAAGAGATGCCCGTTAATTCCGTCGTCGCTGTCCCAGACGACAACGAGACCGTCCAGCTTCCTCCGTCGGGAATCGTCGAGGTCAGGGGGTACGCCGTCCCACAGGGCTACCACGGCCCCGTCACGAGAGTCGAGGTCTCGACAGACAGCGGCAAGTCTTGGATCGACGCAGAGCTGGACGGGTCAGCGAGTTTGCAGAATCGAAAATGGTGCTGGGTGCTGTGGACAGCATCAGTGCGAATGACCAGAGGCGCGGGGAAAGAGATCCTCAGTCGAGCAACGGACGCAGGAGGGAACACGCAACAGGAGCATTCGCAGTGGAACCTGCGTGGTGTGGGATACAATGGGTATGGAGCGTCGAGGAATCTTACCATTGTCTAGGTGGGTGGAAGTACAGTAATTCGGCATTTGGATTGTAAGGTTTCATTATATTCGCATTGGAAGATTGTATTGATAGACATGCAAATCTCACGAGAGGGGAAACAATGAATAAGAGGTATACGGTATCCTTCCAAAAAAGGAAACAACAGCAACATCACGAAAAAAAATCATCTGATAAGGGGTGCCCTCCCTCCCGGAGCACCCCCAAGACTTCTTGTTAGGTTAAATGGGTCCTTTTATTTTTGAGAACCAGAGGGATCGAGCGCGGGCAGATTTTTGACCAGACCAAGCAGACTGCATCGTTCTGGTAGTGGAGACCTAACCACTCCACTATTGCAGCCCGCGTTCGTTGACAGGGAAGGAGACAAAGGAATGATATATGCCCGGAGGCTGGGGAGTGACTGGCTGGCTGGTGACAGGTGGGCGTGGTTCTCCAGAGAGGAAGAAGTGATGGACTGCAGCAGTGATATATGATGCAAAAGAGACAAATTGGCACGTGTTTCCTTCTTCCAGCGAGTGTTACTCCCTTCTATCCTCGACGAGAGGGATTCGAACCTAACCTGTAGCCTACCCAAGTACACTGCCCAGTCTGAGAGAGACTGAGGGAGACGCATACCTGTCTCAACCTAGCTGATCTTATCTTGTCCTGACTCGACACAACAACCAGGCATACGTCCCAGGCTCTGTGACCTTTGCTCACTTCAATTTATGCGACCCAAAGACGAACAGAATTCTCTATTCACACATCTGTACAGTACAGTGCAAGTTGCTCTTTCTATGCTGTTGTTGATCTACGGCAGGACAATGTACTTCTCCAGATGCTTGGGGATCGCATCCCGCAGACCCTTGCTCCGCAGCCACTTGTCCGAGAAGAGACGGTCCGCATACCGATACGCGCCATCGCACAGGATCGTCACCACGGTGTGTCCCTTGCCCAGCTTCTCGGCCACCTCCTTGGCAGCCACCACGTTGAGCGCAGAGCTGGCCCCCAAGTACAGTCCCTCCTCATCCAGGCAGCGGTACACCATCTCGATGCTCTTCTCGTCGCTGATGTACAGCGACCCATCAAGGAGGTCAATGTCGGGCTTCAAGTTCTCCGTGACACGCCCTTGCCCGATTCCCTCGGTGATACTGCTTCCAGTTCGCTCGATAAGCTTGCCTCCGCTCTGGATGTAGCTGTGGAGCACACTGCCCGGCGGATCGGCCAGGAAACTCTTGACTCGGCCGTCACTGACAGTCTTCAGATACCGGGTGATTCCGGCCAGAGTGCCTGCCGTGCCGGTCGCGCAGGTAAAAGCGTCGATCTTGCCCTCCGTCTGAGCCCAGATCTCGGGCCCCGTCGTCTCGATGTGCGCCTGCCGGTTGGCTGTGTTGTCGAACTGGTTGGTCCAAACGGCATTGTCGAGAGACTCGGCTTGTCGTCGCGCCTGATGGTTGTAATTCTGCGGATTGTCAAACGGCACCGCCGGGACCGGGTAGACCTCCGCACCGAGCAGCCGCAGCAGATCGATCTTACCCTGCGATTGCGTGTTGGGCATGTAGATGACCAGCTTGTAGCCCTTGGAACGGCAGACATGCGCCAGGCCAATGCCCGTGTTTCCGGCCGTGCCTTCAACAACCGTTCCGCCTGGTCGCAGCAATCCCTTTTCCTCAGCGTCTTTGACGATATAGAGCGCAGCTCGGTCTTTCACACTGCCGCCGGGGTTCTGGAACTCGGCTTTACCCAGGATGTTGCACCCGGTCTCCTCGGAAAGGCGCTTGAGCCGGATCAATGGCGTATTGCCAATCGCTACGAGCGTC